GGTCGGGATCGATTTCCACAAGGAGTTAATTTCATTTGGAGTCGGGTATCTAACTAATCTAGATGTGCGTGTTATTTCTAATTGCACTTCCAAAAATTGTTGTGATTGATTCTATTCTAATTTTTATACTATTGTATGCCAAGTGTAAGCTATGTACAATATATTTGGTGAAAGTTTTCAAGTGTTAAAAGGCACTAGGGTAGTGACTTCCGCCTATGTGAGTATCTAATGGGTGTCAAGAATTTAGGACAAGCTTATTACGATTGGGGTCGTGATATAACCATCACACATAAGTGCTCACTCTAGACCTCTCGGAAGTTTGAGTGACTTTGCCTGATTTGGGTTTCTCAAGCCCAAATGGGTGTTCGTACAATCCAAATGAAATTGGCTCAAGTCGGGTATTACTATCTCTAGGTTTAACCCTTTAATCGGGGCTATCAATCTCTTGAGTTCACCCCATTTCCTTGTTAGCCTAATTTTTCTAGACATAGTCTCTCTTTCTCAAGTAGAGCCTAAGTCATAAAGGCATGAATCAGTGTTTGCAACCGCTAATTCTATAATTTTAGCATGAATTAGGCTAAATATCACTAACCCATAAATAATTAAGCCCTAAAATTCAAGACTCATTAAATACCCACACTAGAATTGGGTCACCACCCTAGCTATGGGGTCTAGCTACTCATGAATACAGCAGAAATCAAAGGTAAAGATGAAGTATAAGCCATAATATTAAAGTACAAGATGAAAATCTAAAATTTGAAGGTAAATCTAATATAAAATTGCCCAAAAGGGAAAAAATCAGCCGTTCACGTGCTCTGGTCTGCAAAACTTACCCTAAAAATGTCAAAAAGATTTATTTATACACAACTAAAATTTTTAGACAAAAATACCCCTACGGAGGATTCACGGACGCGTAATTCTAACCGCGTTCACGCTTGAGCTTTCGCGGCCGCATAATAATAAGCGCGGTCCACGTTTCTTCAATACTGGGCTTGGACTGGACTAGGTTTCGCGGACAGCATAAATGCATTTGTGTCCGCGTTAGCTTTAATCGCGGCCGTGTATTATGTTCGCAGACCACGTTCTTCAGTTAGGTTTCACTTGCCAAGTCTCTGAACCTTTTATCACGCTCCCAACGTAATTTCCCTCGCAGTCGCGCCACTGGTTTCACGGCCGCGCTTTTGTAGCGCGGTCAGCGGTGGTGTTTTCTCTGGATTGCAGCTTCTCTAAACCTCTATCTTGCCGACCGCGGAATATTATCCGCCTCAGCGATAAACCCTACGCGATCGCGCTTTTCTATCGCGGTCTGCAGTTCAGTTTCAGCCTTTGGCTTGTGTAAGTTTGACTCCTTCATGAGCTTATTTTGGCTTTTTTGCCTCATTTTGATCAAACCCTGCAAGCAAGCACATTATGTTAGTTTTCGGGACTACCTTTTAGCTTTTTTTAACCTAAAACCTAAGCAAAAGAGAGCAAATAATAGGCTAAAATCCCTAGTTGTCAATCTCCTGGCATGTGATGCCCCATGTTTTCTTAAAGAATATTGAGTTGAAACCATCACACCCTATGGCCTTTAAATCATCTATCCCTTGTAGTGCATTGTGAACCTCCTTTATAGTGATAAGCTCAATTAGTTTCAACTGCTGGCCTCTTTCTAGAACCTTTCCTTCTTTCATAATGCATGGTTGTATAACTGGTATAACATCTGCAGAGGAACCCATTAACCCTTGCAGAACCGCACTATTTCCCCTTATATTGCTTCTATTGACTATACTATCTCTCATGTATTGGTCATCTGGCTTCTGATTTTGTTTTGACTTACTCTATTCTTCATGCTGGCAAAGAAAAAAGCATAATTAGAATCTCCCAATTCAACCCAGTTCCTAGATTTATGCTTATACATGATATCCTCTATGTTAACCCATTTATCTAGTTGTTTCTTCAGTTTCTTCTCCTCATCAAAGAACTCTGTTGGTGAGTTGGTAGTTCTCATTTGTTCTTGCATCTCATGTAATTTTTGTCTAATAGTCCTGACCTTTACATCTACTGCTTTAAATTCAGTTGTGTTTAACTGTTTTAGCTCTTTCCTAACTTTCTTCAGCTTTCTCTAGACCCCATACATATGTTTCACTTGCTAATGCTTGTTCCAAACTCCTACAACTATTGGTAAAAAATCTTTATGCCTTGCCAAACAGTTAGAGAATCTACACGACTTAGAGGCCGTTAGTTCATCCCCAAATTTGACACACATAGAGAGTGGTTTGAGCAAAAGGGATCCATAATCACAACATCCAGTTGGGGCATACTAGTTACCCATTATGTATTCACTATCGTTCTGTCTATTCTACTAAACATATGGGAGTTAGTCCATGTAAAGTTCCTTCCCACTGTTCTCATTTCAGACATCCTAGCAACTATCAAGAATTCATTGGAGTCTCTTATTTCACTTTCTGAATTGGACTTCTATTGATTCTATCGTCCACTTATAATATAACATTATAGTCACTCATACACAATCAAGGTTTTAGTTGAGAGTGACTCCAACTTAACAAATCTATCCATAAATTTTCTCTTGTCTCTATTGTATGCAGGCCGTATATAGTTGTGAAAGTAAATTCTTGTCTAGTAGCATATATGAGTGCCTCCCCATGAACAAACTGAGAATCTATATTCTGCCTTTACCACCAACATCATAGTTTGCACACCATTCCCACTTAGGAGCTATTTTTTGTACAATTTTATGAGAATACTTCTCTTGTACTCTATGTTTTATTATAGCCATCATACTAATAGTATGTTCCCTAATATACCTTTGCATCTCCTTTTGCTTATAGGCTTTATTTAAGCCTTTAACATTCCAACTAACTTAGAATAGTTTGTCTGGAAAACCATCCTCCAGGACACCCTTGTGACTACATTGTCCTCCTTCAACCCTACTAGTTGTACTGCTTATTTGGTTAGGACATGTCTCAGTGAGTACAATAAAACCATTACCCACTACTACTACTCTTTCTGTAGTTGCTTGGGCACTCTTAATAGCAGACTTCCCTCTAACTGCTTGCCATCCTTCATTCTTCTCAGCTGGTGTTTTTTGTATAGGATTTAGTATTTGCCTAGTTTGATTTGTCCCTGGTTCCCTGTCCCCATAACTACTTGTGCATCATCCTTTTTGGACCCTGGGTTGCCCTGTTCCCTTGGCTTCCATTCCTGCTTCTGCTTCTGTGACTAGACCAATAGTTGCTACGGTATCTTGTCTTGGCAACTGTGGTCCAATTGTAAACAGGTGTTGCAATACACATGCTTCCAGTCATAAGTAATTGCTTGCTCAAATTGTCTTCCATTTGGATCTTTAACTGTTATTTCCATAGGCAATGGCCTGGTGATGTCCATTTCCACGAGAATTCTGGCGTAAGAGATCCTCTCTACTTTAGTTGTGCACTCATCAACATAGATTGGATTCCCCAGCCCACTTCCTATACGACTCAGTGAATCCATTCCCCAGCAATTCAGTGGCAAGCTAGACAGTTTAACCCATATGGGGAGTGTTTTCAATACCTCTTCTTTGATGTCAAAATTAGGAGTCCAAGCCTCGTAATTACTAGCTTACTACCGATTATGCAAGGGGTTGAGTACAACACTTCATTCCTATCTTCTACACTTCTGAATTTAACCATAAAGAATCCATCATTTTGGTAATACACTCCCGGTTTTAGCTATAAAATTCCACTGTGAGGTAATGAAGCGTTCAATAGCTCCAATACTCAGTGTATCTCTAACCACATACAAAATTACTGCCATCTTCCACTTCTCTGTTTCCTTTTCAACTTCAGCTTGTTGTAGCTCAACTATTTTCTCACCATTTTGAATCATTGGTGCGACATATGTAAGCCCCATCCCCCTAGCAACAAATGTATTTCCAGCGACCAGATTAGCCCAGAAGTTACCTCCATTAGCAGGTGTTCCACCAATAGTTTTGGGCGCCTGAATCCCAAAGACTCCAATTTCTATACTTACTTCTTTCCCTGACGAACATTGCATGTCATCCTTAGAGCTCACATTCAATTGCAATTGTGTTCATATTGCCTTATTTGTGGTTTTTTTGCCAGAATTTTTCTCAATTGTAATCAATTGCTTCCCAATATTAGCAACATCGGTATTCGCTCCTTCATCATTTTTGTTCCCCCAATTGTTCAAATTCGGCACCTCAGCTGTTGAATTTCAACTTGTTTAATCATGTACCGTGAATTCAAATTCCTACTTTTACCTGGTGAAGTCGTCATTGAAATATCCATTGATTTGGGGGTAGTCGCCCCCTTTTCACGAATTAGGGTTCCTTGAACTAGTGTCGATTTTCCTAATTCCCCATTTCAACTCGCCGATGCAATGTATTCTGCTACCTGAACCTTCGTATTGCTTTTCTTAGGCCTTCCTCTCCCTCCCATCGCTGGTGGCGTAGGTTAGTAAGTCACCCTAAAGTACGCCGAGAGTTTGTAGAGAGAGAAAAGTCGCAAGAAGAAGATATCAATGGAATATTCCTTTACTTAAATGTAAATTTATTGCGTTAACTATTTAGAGTTCATTTCGCTAAGTTGAATTAAAATACTCGTTGCATCTCAATTTATGTAACGCAGTTTGGATTTTGAGAGTCAAACTTTATAATTTTGATGGCAAATTTGAACATAATTTTTTTAAAATTTAAATATTATATAAAATATAATAATTAATAGATTAAAATATTTATGACGTGTATGAAAAATCACGAGAAGAAAATATACTCGTTTGAATCTTTTGTGAGGGTCAAAAACAGAATTACATACAAATACGGGTGTGTATTTGGCATCAATCATCGAAAAAGGAAAACGAAAAGGAAAAACAACCACCTTTACGTTACTCTCGGCGCGTACATCTTTTTTCTTCAGTCTCTGGATTGAAGCGCGTGAATTCGCACGGCTATACCAGCAAAGATATTGCCTAAAACAATTATATTTTTGTGGAAACACAGCTGCGAAATTCCAAAAAGAGCTCACAAATTATCATCCGAAGGCAGCAGAGAGAAGAATCCCTTTTCCCCCAATTTTCTCTCTCCAAAAGCAACAACCAATCTCAGACCCCACAATTCTCTCCCTTTAAACCCCAATTTCTCAGGACCCAAACCCCCCAATTTCTCAGCAATGCCTGCTTCCTCCTCAGGTGCTCACAAAACCCCCCCATTTCTTTTAAATTTCTATAATTTTAGTTTTTATTTTAAAGCATTTTATTAATTTGATTTGGAAATGGTTGATTTGTGTACTATAATTAGTTATTTAACGGATCCGAGTGTTACAAATTAACTAGTAATTTGTTGTTAATTTTTTAGAGACGAGGAATAGGTGGAGGAGGCGGAAGCGGGAGCCTTTAATTTCAAGGAAGGCCAAGGCCCAACAAGATGATGACGTGTTTGAAGAAGAAGAAGACGAGGAAGATATTGACCAGCAGGAAATTGAAGATGACGACCATCGAAACCCTAGCAATTCAGTGGATCGGAGTAATTACTCAGTTGAAATGGTATCAGAAGCTGGGGACCGAATTAGCGAGTTCCCTTTAGTAGTTAGACGTACTGTTACTCGGCCTCATTCGTCCGTCCTGAATATTGTAGCGACTGAGAAGGCTGGGCAGTGTGGGGAGAGTAGGCAGAATGGGGTGGTGTTGGAGAATATGTCGTATGGGCAGCTTCAGGCGCTTTCAGCTGTGCCTGCAGATAGTCCGGCTTTGTTGACTGAGGAAAGAGGAGAAGGCAGTGGGGGTGGTTCGTATGTGATCAGTCCTCCGCAGATATTGCAGGGTCGTGGTGTGGTTAAGCATTATGGCAGTGCAAGTCGAATTCATGTTGTGCCAATGCACGCAGGTAATCATCATACAATGTGCTGATGAAGAGATTTTTTTTATATCATTTCATTACTAGCTGGAACCTTTCTTTTAAGTACCAAAATACTTTTTTGCTGGTGAATAATGATTTTGAACAAGAAAGGATAGACTATGGTGTATGAGTTAGAGTTAAATTCTGTCAGGACTTAACTAATTTCGGAAAAAAGTGAGTTGCATTTCCCCATGGACAATTGTGACCATTGGATTTTAATAACTTCCTAATTTGCTAAACTTTAGGAGATGGAGCAATTTTTGACCGTAGTATCTAGGGTTATTGAAGGTAAATGCTCACCTGTCAGATCACACTGCTTGCTGGGCGCTGGCACTAGGACCCTGAAAGACTCTTGATATAGAGACTTGTTGTGATTATATGAATTCCCTTTCACTTTCTTTTGAGTATTGCTGCCCTTATTGTTTGAAGATTGTAAACGAATAAAACCACCAAACCACGTCACTTTGGTAAGGTTCTTCACCAGGAGTAGTGGATCTTATAGCATATTTTGATAGGTCAGAAGAGGTGTATGTGATATCTCACAGGAAGAATATGAGTTTCTTTCCGTTATTAGCTAAGCAAAACAGAGGAATACAAATTTATCAGGTACTACACGGTGGAAAAGTTTGTCTTCCGTCCAACTAAATATCATTTATAGCTTGGCTTTCTCCTTGCAAGATTTAGGATATTTAGTACTCTATGGATTCATTAACCTTCCAATCTTACCATGTGAATCGGAAAAAAACAAGAACTTGGATCCTCTTTTGTACTTTAATGTCCAAGTATAATGTTGGTGCATACTTGTGAAATAGATGCTAGAGGAAATTTACTGAACTAAAGACAAGAATGCTAAGATTTGCATGTGTGGATGTGGAGTACAAGAGTTAATTTATTTACTTAAAATACTAAGCGAAGTTAATTTATTTGGGAGGGGTGAAAAAAAAAAAAAAAGCTTAGCATGTGCCATTTTCGAGAAAATGATCAAAATGGTCCTTAATGTATTGGGGTTAGTTTATTTTGGTCCCTGTTATATGCACCCTAATGAATATCGTCCTTAATATATAGAAAAAGTGTATCATTTTGATCTTCACCCCTAAAAGCTAACAAATATGTTAAAAGTGCTGTTAAGTTTAACCCTTCAAAACAAAACAAAACAAAAAAAAAAACCCAGTCTCATCTCTATGATGAGCTACGGCAATGGAGCTCCACGAAATTAGTGAAGAAAGAGCCATCAACAGATAGACCTTCAGTAAGCGACAAAATCGGAAGGAGAAGAAACCTTGTTTCATAGATTTGGAAGCCTATTAAAGAAGACAATGACTAAAGCACTATCCTGATATATATATAAAAAGATAACAAAATGATTCCATTTGTTTCTTGCTCGTGTTGTCCCTTTTTTTTTTGTTAGCAAATAAATGAAGAATTGAAGCTCCCACCATTTTAGTAAATCAACAGAGAATTAGAGATCCAACCATATTGAAATAAGTGCACACACCTTATACTTTGTTTGAGATAAATGATATTTCTGTAAAGATTCTTAGAAATTTTTGGGAATTAAAGAATATTTCTGCAGAACAAAGACGTTTCTTCTAATTATTGTTTTTCTTTATAATTATGAATAAGTATTTTGTGAGTATTTCAAAAATATGCAACCAAAAAAATTGTTTGGAAAAAAACTTAACAAGTACTCTACAACTTTTTCTGAATCTTTTCAAAAGACTTCAGACCTCACATTCACCCGTTTGTTTGAAAATTTTCAAAAAAAGAGTTTGTAAAATTTTGCGTTTGTTTGAGTTTTTTTGCAAATGATTAATTTTATTTCAATATTTTGTTTTTCCTAGAAATGTTTGGGTTGGTTATTAAATTTTTTAACTTTTGCTAAACAAACAAGAGTCATTTGCTAGAACTTCTTGATACCCAGATCTGCTGCGGTCAATTTTGATCTTATCCAAAAAAAAATAGCCCGTAAATTCCTTCCCCAAAACTTAAAGGTATGTTCTTTTATGTATGCGAGAAAATAAAATGGTCGATAGCTGAGATTTGGAGCTTTCCCTAACAGTGAAAAGGGAGGGGTTTGGTTTCATGGAGCTCCTACCCCGGAGCTGACAGAGATGAGGCTAGCTTTCCTCTTCTTTTTCAAAGGATTAAACTTAACAGAACTTTTAACAAATCTGTTAGCTTTTAGGGTTAAAAACCAAAATGATACATTTTTTCTATACATTAAGGACCATATCCATTAGGGTGCACATATCAAGGACCAAAATACACCAACCCCAATACATTAAGGACCATTTTGATCATTTTCTCTGCCATTTTCTACCATTGTAAAAATTTTCGCATGGGCTTTACCAAATTAATATCATGCGTTCTTACAGGGTTAAAATAATAGCTATCTTGAATTGCCTAGATTTTTTCCACGAAGAGAGTGGCAGGTACCAGTATGCTATAGAAATAGTTTGCCTTAAGAATTCTTTTTTTTTTTTAAATTTCAGCAGTCTTTGACAAATTTGTCTACACTGCGAGGCGAATCCGTCAGAGAATAAGAAGGCTGCCCCTTAGTTAGGTACACCAGAAGGCGAAAAGTGCTGAAAGAGCTCTAAGGTCCATTGGAGCTTTAAGCGCAAAGCGCAAATAAAGCATGGACTTTAATGAAGAAAGGCGCAAATGGAGAAAAAATACAAATATGTATTTGTAGTCCAAGACTCATAATTATAAGCATGAACAACAAATATATGGACAAAGAGTAGCATTCTTGGATTTGTATCTGGATTATATTCTCTTTCACTTTTGAGACTAGATTAGCAGCTTAATGCTCCATTGCTGTACCTCTTAGACCACCTATCGATTTGTTCTTGAAATCAATGTCATTGTCTGTGTTGCTCATGGTCTCCATTTGTAGGTCCGTTAGTGCTTGAGATCTTTGTACTGGTATGTCTTCTATGTATTTTTGTTTTTTCTTACTTGTTGAGATCTGCGTACTTTAATCTTCTTTATGTATTGTTGTTTTTGCTCTCAGATCTCTGTCTAATTTGACCCTTTGTATTCCTTCTTCTGCAAGCAGATTGGTTTTCACCTAATACAGTGCACAGATTGGAAAGACAAGTGGTGCCGCATTTTTTCTCTGGAAAGTCAGCTGAACATACACCAGAAAAATACATGGAATGCAGAAATTGTATAGTTGCAAAGTATATGGAGTTGCCTGAAAAGCACTTGTCAGTTGCTGATTGCCATGGGGTTGTAGCTGGTGTTAGTGCTGATGATGTAACTCGAATTGCAAGGTTTCTTGATCATTGGGGGATCATCAACTACTGTGCTGTTCCTCCTAAAGGTGAGGCCCTAAAAGATGTCACATTGTACGAGGACTCAAACAGTGATCTCTGTGTTCCAGTGGCTGGTTTGAAGTCTATCGACAGCTTAGTTCAGTTTGACAAGCCTAAATGTTGTCTCAAGGCGAGAGATGTTTATCCTGAACTTGTGCGTGATTTTGATGATGACTCCGACTTTGACAACTCAATCCGTGAACTGTTGTCTGAACTACGATGCAATTGTTGTTCTCGCCCTGTTTCACTGTCGTACTATCAGTCACAGAAAGAGGTATATCACACATACTGTTGTCTTTGCTTGTACTTGTTATTTTCTTAAATGTTGCTACCACTATAGCTGTTTTCTTCCTCAAATGTTTTTGCCATTTATGGATTTTCTTTTAGTCTACCATCGAAGACACTAATTCTCCTCTGAATATCCATAGCTCTTGGATCATCCTTCTACTCCATATAACTTAAGTATTTGGTTAATTAATACTTCGCTTCCTAATGTTGGTTTAGATGTACATGCTTTTCAACAGTTGTCTTGAGCATTAGTATACTGTGTGCAATTGCAGCATATTAGAGTACAGTGATCTTAAGTTTTCTCCTTTCTGTGCCTCCAAGTTAAGCCGAGGTCAAACGGTGGGGAGAGAGAGTGTGTGGTAAATTTCCAATTCGAAGTCCTTTGATGCCTTTACTTGATTTCCAGACAAAAGCAAAACTTACCCTGTATTTAGCTTCCCGTCGATGAATTAGGCTAACCAATATGAACCTGCTCCGATTGATATGAACTTGGACTGTTTGATTTTAGTTTCATATAAAAAGCAGCATGGCAGTTATACACGTGCTTATGCTTAATCTATTTCTTTGTATAGCAGTCGGCCAAATATAATTGGTGATACTGTGTTGAAATCCAGCATCCTTTCAAAATTGTCATCATTGAACAGGTAAGTTAGAATGCTGTAGGGGTTACCAGTGTTTCAGAAAAGAAGTTGCCAAAGGTTAACAAAAAGAAGGGAAAAGCAATAGTCTAAGAACCTTTCTTGCTAGCAAAAAAGGATATATATGAGATTATGAAATTTTTTCTCTGCGACATTATTTGGAGCAGATATTATGTGCAACTAAAAAAGTTTGCCCTTCATTTGGCACATAGGCATGCGATTACATGACTTTGGATGAATATTTTGAGTGGATGCATTCAAAGCTGACTTGCATTTTCTTTGACAGATTGATATTCTATTGTGTTTGGATTGCTTCCACGAGGGTGGATTTGTCACTGGTCACTCTAGCTTGGATTTCGTCAAAGTAAGCTCTATGAAAGATTATGGAGATCTAGATGGAGATACTTGGACTGACCAGGAAACACTATTGCTTCTCGAGGGAATGCAACTCTACAATGAAAACTGGAATCAAATTGCAGAACATGTTGGCACCAAGTCAAAGGCACAGTGCATCCTTCATTTTGTCCGCCTGCCTGTGGATGGTGCCCCATTGGAAAATATTGAACTTCCAGGTGCATCTGGTCCCTCAAGTTCTTTTGCGGGTGAAGATCATAACAAATCTTATTCAAATTTGAACGGGAATCTTGCAGGTGAGACAGTGGACTTTTCTCATTTCCTTTTTCGTATGATCACAACACTGAAGCTCTAATATTCTCGTCCTTTATCCGTTTATGATACAGGACCAAGCACTGAAAACCTTGATTCTGATAGCAAATTTCCTTTTGAAAACTGTGGCAATCCAGTAATGTCCCTGGTAAGACTTTGTTATTGTAAACATGCTCTTATGAAATGTGTACTCCTCTTTTTCATATGAAGAGACTTTAGTTCCTAGTTTCTGCTACGTTATCTGTTGATTCTTGAGGGATGCTGCCTTCTTTTTGTGGGTCGGGAAAGGCATGCCTTCTGTTAAGAACGCGAATATGTCAATGGTTCTTTATCTTTTGTTTCTCTTCTATTATCCTCCTTTCGAATCTCTCTGTGTGAAATTGTGGAGGACAATGCATATCCATGAGAGCTTTAGAGGGTGTTTGGGTAAGCTTATAAAAAGGTTAAACCAGCTTGTAAGCACTTTTTGACTTTTCTACTTGTTTGGTAAACGCCAAAAGTGCCTATAAGCCAAGTACTTATAATTAAGTGATAGGTTGGTGACCCCCAATTTATAGCTTTCAGCTTATAAGCGCTTTTGGTTTTACAAAATATTTTACTGTTTTATCTCTATTATTTTTGTAATCCCTGAAATACACTTCCGAAAACAAAACCCCCTTCCTCTCCAGTTCATTTTCGCCATTTGCCCTTTTCCATGAGTAATATTTTTAATTTTAATTTACCAAGACAAAGTGCTTATTAGCGCTTTTTACCCAGAAAACCAACTGCTTATTATCAGTCTTGGGACTTCTATCCAAATGCAAAGAATCCTGAAGTTATTTATAAAATTAGCTTCAACATTTAGAAGTACTTTTCATTCTTATTAGTTACTTTTAATCTATTAAAGAAGAACGGGCTCTTAGTACCATTTCAACGCATGCCTTTTCGCATCAGTTATTTCATCGAGGTAAGTTGGTGGAGAACTGGATCATCCTTTTTTCTGTAACTTGCAGAAGGATTCCATTGTCCCCTTATGGTTAGATGGTCGTCAAAGTAGGAGTTAGCAGATGAACTATATATGAGAAAGATTAACAGTAAAAAAAAACTATATATGAGGAACATTATGGAAATCTTCCATGTGAGATGGTTTCTTGAAAAGATTTTTCATGATGGTAAAAATGTTAAAGCAGTGAAACACGTAGAAATTCATAATGATGCTTCTAAGAAAGAAGATGCAGAATTTGATAAAATAACTTGTCTAGTGATATTCCTTTTTCTTTCCAGAAATTAGTGATGTTATCTGCAGATCAGACCAAGTTAGTATGGTCTTCTCGTCTATTCCAGCCTTTATTTTGTATTTGTTAAATCAAAATTCATATTTGATTTTCTCTCTAGTCTCTACTGCAATCTATTTACCATTTCGTTTTAAAATCCTGGAATGATTTATCAGATCCCAAATCATTACACAATACCTTTTCACTTTTGTTCCATGCTGCGTATGCAACATGGCTTTGTAGAATTAATTAATTAAACTAGGGAAGACCTTAGCAGAACTGTCAAGAATGAGGCCCTGGGCCTGGATCTACCTGTTCTTAGGTTCAAGTTCTATTAGAATGAGATTTTGCCCAGTTTGAGGAGGTTAGTGTCTTGATTCTCTTAAAGTGTACGTCCCTATCTGAGTCCTTCTCCACTAGTTGATGGTGTAGAAATTGCCTATTATCAGTGTGACCAAAAAGAGGAAAAAAGATAATAGAAACCCTGTCAGAACCAAGGGGAGGCTATAGCCCAATCTGGACATCGTAAGAACCAAAAGAAACTAGAAAAGTATTTATCCAGTTGCTGGGCTGCCTAATCTCTACATTTTTGCTTTTATGCTTACTCTGCTCTCCCTAATCTCGCCTATAGCTTGTTACATATTAGGATTTTTGGCTAAATGTGCTTTATTAAGCAGTTGTCTGGAGTACATTTACTTTGACTATGCCATACCGTTTATGATATAGACAGTTGAGAGCGCATATGACTTCTTATACAAGGTAGAAATAAAAAGAAGAATTTTTTTAGCTCTCTACTGTCTGTAGGTTGCTTTTTTGGCATCTGCCGTGGGACCGAGAGTTGCTGCAGCATGTGCCCATGCTTCCTTGGCAGCATTGTCCAAGGATGATACTTTAACATCACGGAATATGACTCAGATAGATGGATCTACAGCTAATAACGGGTGTGTATATCTACTGTTCTTTCTTCATCAATTCTGTATTCGTATTCTATTCTGCATGCTAGTTTATTTAGCATGTTACTTGTGATTGTTGATATGAATTTTGGGCATTTTCTGTGATGCAGAATTTCCGAAAGTTTTCTCTATTTTAGTTGCTTTTGTTACCATTATTGACCCCATTTGTATGATACAAGCATTGTCTCATTAGTTATTAATGAATTCTTTTGTGATATTTCTGCAGTTTACTTTATTTGGTTCTTTTCTTGCTCAAAATAATTAAAAATATTGCATTTTATAAGTATGTGAGCCGTGACCTGGAGAAAAACCAAAATATATAAGTATGTACTACAGAGTAAAACTTCTTAGAGACAGCAAAACACGTGGAACAGTCTATTTTTGGCTGTATATGTTAAACTGGAACTTGAATTCATGACTCTCCATCCACGTCTTTGGCCAGCAAACTGGAGACCTGCCATCCCCATCTGGCTGATGCCTGAAGTCAGAGACCCATTAGGAACATCCCCGCAAGGCTTTACTTCTTTCTTTCCAACTGCCCAAGTGTTTCTCCTCATTCTACCTTCTGCATTTGGTAATTTGTGCTTCACGAAATCTTGTATTTCAACTTTTTAAATTGTTCTTTCCCTTTTAGTCATCTATGTTGTTTGCACAACCCTGTGCTTTGGGAGCATCTAAGTCTAAAAATCTTGCTGGTCCATCTATAGAGATCCATTTTGGCTTTTCACTCTCTCAAATAGACAGCAAAGGCAGACTCCACTATAACCAACAACAAAATTTAGATTTAGGTTTAACATAGGGTACGCGGCTTTTTCTAGTGCAAATATTATGAGAAAAAATTAGAGATGTCTGACTTCATGCATTTTGTTGCATTCAGCAACTGGTAATACCACAAGTATTAGTTTCTTATGGAAGGTGATGGATGAAACATTTCTAACGGGCCTACTGATCTAAAGATATGTACTTGCTTCCATACTTGCAGGATCAGTGTAGGAAGAATTCATGGAAAGGATGGAAGTCCTCATGGAGATGTTGGAAATTCTTATCAGCTAAAAGGTGGCTATAAATTGAACTAGTACTATTCTTATTTCATCCTTCCAATAATTCTCTAATATAAACTTCTCAGATGAAAAGCCGGGAGGACAAGGTCCATGGGGTCAACACGATGCTGGAGGTGCTCCAGTGTCCACTGAAAGAGTAAGAGCTGCTGCTAAAGTCGGTCTTGCAGCTGCAGCTATAAAGGCAAAGCTTTTTGCTGACCATGAAGAACGTGAGATTCAACGGTTATCTGCAAACATAGTCAACCATCAGGTAATTTGCTGAAATTGTAATTATTGGACTTAGCTCCAAACTCTTTACGTATATCCAATTGGTAATCCATTGGAATTTTCCACATATCATTAGCTATTAGTTGACCTCCTGTTGAGTCCATTTCATCCTCTTTCTTTCCCGTTTTCCTTTGGGTGTGCTCTTTATTGCCGTATTTTACTTTTAGGCGGTTGGGTTTTTCCAATTATGACGGCCTTGTAGGTGCACTACATACTTACAATGGGGTCCCACTGTACTTGAAAGTTCTACCAAGGGGCTGTTATGCGCTGTATGATTGGAGGGTAAAACATTTCTGTAGCAATATTTGAGATCTCTGAGCTGAGATGGAATGGGCTTATTTGCTGAAACTTAGCGAACAATGGGCTGTTGAATATGTTGAAGCACTGCTGCTAAAGCTCTCTCTTTTTTTTTTGCTGGTAGTTGGTGGTATTTAATTGGGTCAAAAAAGTTGGAAGAGTTTGGTCTGAAGAATTAGGGTTTGCTGGAGGGTATCAAGATCTCTGAGTTGAGATGGAATGGGCTTATTTGCTGAAACTTAACGAACAATGTGCTGTTGAATATCTTGAAGAACTGCTGCTAAAGCTCTCTTTTTATTTTTTTATTTTTTGCCGGTAGTTGGTGGTATTCACTTGGGTCAAAGAAGTTGGAAGATTTTGGGTCTGAAGAATTAGGGTTTGCGGGATGTAACCGAAGAGTTGTGGTTTGAGGTCGTCTGGATGAAGTTCACTTCGTCATCATACATACCTTCTGCAGATGATAAGATCAATCAATTATGCCTTAATCCCGAACTAGTTGGGGTCAACTGAATGAATCTTTATTCATTCTACTCTATTCAGTCACATTCCATTCCGATACTAAATAATTTATCTCGCGAGGATTTCTCTAACTCTCACACTTGTATCTAGATGAAAATGCTAATAAAGTGGACGTACCAGTCGTCTAACCAGAATAAAGAGATTCAGAATGAAAGGACTCATGATAAAGACTGGACCTAGTGTAACTACAACTAACTGACGAGATGCGTAAGCAATCACTTTACTGTCCTGCATCAATACCACGCCAAGTGTAATACGCGAAGCGTTAAGCTAATCCCAACTGCTTGTATTGCTTATGTAGATACTTTCTTTCTATCTTTTTTTGTTAGTTACTCCATTGATTGGAAGAGAATTTTGGACGTTTGAGATTACTTTCCTCCATGTGATTTTAGGTCTACCTCGTTTCTCGTTATCACCTTCAATCATCATATTATCCGACTTATTGGTGCATAGAAGGTCCGCATAGACATGGTCAGACATTTTTATGCGACCTTCTCCATTTTCTTTCAGCTATTGAATGTGATCATTTCTAATTATGCTGGACCACTTCCATAGTTCCATCTTAATATCCACATTTCTACGACATTTATCTTGTGGATGTATTGGGCCTTAAAGACCAACGGATCCCATATAAAGTTGATGGTTTCACGAGTTTTCGTAGAACTTGTCTTTCAGTCTATTAGGGATCTTCCTATTGCGTAGCGTTTTTCCATTTCAACTATCCTATTTTAATTCTATTTGCTACATGTTTATCTGACATGTCACTTTTCTAGAAGATTGATAATTAGATTTCTGAATTATCTGCATTTAGGCACCACGATGGGGTCTCATCTCTTTATATTCATTCTTCATATGGGACAAAATTTACCGGGCATGTGTCTACTTATCCTAAAACCCTCACTTTATGGTGTTTTTCCATAGTTCCAGCTTTTATTCGACTCTCTTGCTAATGTTTTTTAAATTATATCTTCAGTAGATTATATTTGGAGTTAGCTTTCTACTAGATATGAACTTGTTAAGAAAATAAAATTTTTGTGTGAACAAAATGATCATTTGGCTACTGGAACCCAAAAAGTTAGCTAATGAGGTGAGGATTGTTCGAGGCCATATAAGAAGACAACAACCCATTCCCTCAACGAATGTAGGATATTGTAACACCTCATGGCACGCCTGGGTTGGACATCTGGAGCGTGGACAACATAACATCAAGCCAACATTGGGTAAACCAAGATTATAAATATGTTTGACTCTAAGACTATATAAAGAAATAGAATTTGGGCCTAATTCAACCCCTAAAGTTTTTGTTATGGGGTGAGGATTGTGCAAAGACCATATGAGGAGACGACAACCCATTCTCTCAACCACATTCATTTTCTCAAACAGTGTGGGGCACTCTAAACTTATGATGATAAAATTTGATGCCAGTATAATAAATTGTTGATAAATTTCAAGTTCTCCTTGGATTTATGACCAAGTAAGCCTCGAGTACCATAGTTTTTCTTGTGTTTGCTTGATATTTTTGAAACCATAAACATGGCATCGATAATAAGTTAAATAAGTCACTTCTTCATAAAAAAGAAGAAGTTAAATAATAGTCACTTCTCACCCGCTTTCCTTCTAGTCCCAAAAGGAAAAATGGCAAAAGGTAATATTCAAAGAGTGCAAAATGGAAATGACTGGAGGAGAAAATGAAACGATAAGTCAATGAAGTTTGTCCTGTTAAGGAGCATAGGAGACATACACCGTTACAGACTTACAGTTACAGAGTATTTGCCAGTTGTTAACCATAAGTTTAATATTAAATCTATTTTTATCGTTGTTTTGTTTCATGTCTATTGCATGCGATGTATGCACAATCTTGAGTCAGTTTTATTCCCAGCAGTCCTTTACTGGAAAGGAAGGGATGGTAGTACGGTACTAACACTGTTTTACAAGTCCTAACTGGGAGCTTCTTTTGTGGATTCTATGTTTGCATCAAACTATGTTCGGTTTAAGGATCTCTTCACCTTTTTGTTGCAACAATTTTGATTTCTCTACTACTTTCCCCATGCAGTTAAAGAGGTTAGAGCTGAAGCTGAAGCAGTTTGCAGAGGTGGAGACCTTGTTAATGAAAGAATGTGAACAACTGGAGAGAACAAGGCACCGCTTTGCTGCAGAACGTGCTCGAATGATGACAGTTCAACCTGGTTCAGTTCGAGTATCCCGACCAATGGGTGTGTCTGGTGCTGGTGCGCCGGTGGTCAGTAACATAGGAAATAGTAGGCAACAAGTTGTTTCAGGTCCTCTACAACAAAGTTTTATTTCTGGATATGGAAACAACCAACCAATGCATCCCAACATGTCATTTATGCCGCAACAAGGGATGTATGGATTTGGCCCTCGGCTGCCTCTCTCAGCGATACACCCGTCCTCTTCAACACCCGGTATGTTTAATGCTCCAGCAAGTTCCCAGCCTGCTCTCAGTCATTCAATGCTTAGACCTGTATCTGGGACAAAATCTGGTTTGGGTTGAGTGAAGAGTGGTTAAGCTTGGGATTTGCTTCAATTTATTTATCTGTGGTTCTCTTCATTTCCTCAATTATTGGGGCGAGAGAACAAATGAATTACAGCTGCAGTGCTCTGTCAGACGGATTGAGACAATATTGAAGCCAATCGACTGAAGATGCAGCTCGGACTGACAGTGCACTGGCCTGATTATCCAAGCAGGAGTGCTCACATTTGTTGCTGCTTTATGCAGCTAAACTTAATCCTAGAAACAACTTGTACTATATTTCGGTATCTACTGTGAAATAACACTCTTTTGGTAACAAAAGTATGAGACTAGGGATCTAGAAACGTAGTTTTGTGCAGTAGAGGTAATGAAGATGGAGAAAAAGGGGGAATGGTGTCTTTAGGTACATGCCTTTTCTTGATGAAAGAAGTTGTGTAACAAAATTGTTGTGTCAATTCCTAGATTTGTAGTCCCTTTGTAATCCAATTTCCCGAGTAATTTAACTAAGCCTTGTGGTTGAATTGCACCCGAGCTTCAGAAAGTGATCTCGTCCAACTTTAGGAAGCTTTACCTGCATTTCTACTCGTGTACTAACTGTTTTGTTAGTACAAGTACTGCTCACAATGAAAACAGGGATAAGTGACCAACATTTCAACCAAGTTCGACTCTTTTCTCCACTGATTTTGTTATTTCATCAGACAAAAAGAAAATTGTTTCTGTACTACATATTCAGTGTAGTGGTTCAAAATTTTTCACAGAAGGAGCGATTTTAGAGAATTCTAGGAAAAGGGTCATCAATAACAACGTTCATTTCTTGAGAAGTTACAATGTATAAGTTATTAAACTGTTCCGATCACACTGTATAAGATGTGATGTTATGTTTGTTATGAAATGTGTAATGAATTAGTGTGGTCTTGTTAGACAACAATAAATTGTGAATTGTGTGACGCTGTTATATATGAAAAAGTTGAAATATCATAATTGAATTTGATTATTAGGATTATTATATGTAAGAAGTTGTTGAATTGAGTAAATTTGTTGTTGAGGAATGAAATTGTTTCTGTTGTTAAATTTCTTTTGGCTCCTTTTACTAGATAACTATTGCATTTTTCAGCTTTTCAACTGGAGATCAGAGTCGCGATTTAGAAATAAATACTCGGTTGTGGGTCAAATAAACTATCAAAATTCAATCATCGCACTTTGAAGATATGATAAAAGTCTCGAGGAATGAACGATTAACAGATGCAGATTTAACGGATATAGTGTTTATGAAAGTTCTGAGGTTCGACAATTTTGCTTCTCTATACAAAATGACGATTTTTATTTAATACTAGTGTAATATTTATTTATTTTGCAAAAGTAGCCAAAAGAAAAAAAATTTCAAACGTGACATAAGCATGCAATATTTCTGTTTGTTGCTCCAGGTCAACCTCTTGTAGTGACTATTCGAAGTCGTACTTGTTGACTACTAACTGTACACGGGCGGATGCAATAAAGGCGGTGTCATATGAAATCGTTTCGCAGTAAATTTTTTGTTAAATGTATATATAAATAATTTACAAAATACCATATAACTACAAAATGCAGTAAGTGTGACACCACTTGTCATCAAACTCTTCTTGGCCAGTTGGTGGATATACAATCCGGCTTTCCTTGTATTTTTTATTTTTTGGATCAATTAAGTTATTTTGTTAAGTTTTTATTTTTTAATTATTTTACTTTTTTGTTAGAATTTCTTAAAATAGTTTTATTTTATGAGTGTACTCTATAAAATTATTTGGGGTTTCTCAAATAAATATTTTAATTTATAATTCAACTTAAATTTCGATAGATTATCCGAAAGCATCTTTCATATATACTTTCAAAATCAAGTTCAGAATCTCAAAATTCATCTAATTTGAAAGAAAGAGCCAATGGTTGGAGTAACATCGACAAGGTGAAGAAGTTAATTTAAATTCCTTAAAGATTGACTATGAGAAAAGATTGACAATTCGAAAATATTATTCAAATAACCATGATGCAATAAGAAGAACATATCTTCAAACCAGGTCTTTTCCAACCTCGAAATTATAAATGTGACACCGCTTATAAAAAATTAAAATAGGTCCACAATTACGTACTTTTGTGTTTCTTTATATTTTGCTATTTTCCCATCGTTAATGATTAAGGTTGATGTCGGCAATTGTAATTTACGTTCTCTGACTTTTACCAACTATGAAAATGTCTAGTTAGTCGCATTTGTCTAGTGTTTTGTGTTTTTAAAATATTAAAAACAAAGACAATAATTTCAAGTATATGATTCTTGAAAAAGAAATACGTAACCAAACAGTACAATTTTTTGTTCAAAAGTCATGATGTGATTCTTCATGATATCTCTCCAACCCTCAAATCTGGATTCAAGATTTAAGCTCTATAAGTTCAACATTTAATGTTTATTATATTTTTAAAGTTATTTACAGGTTATTGCAAGTTAAATGGATTTTTTACACATAAATTGTGCTATATATTAGAATTATTGGGTTCAAATAAACCCGATACCGCTATATTAAATCCACTCCTCCTTGAAATTGGATACTACTAATAGAAAATTTTATCACTTTGGAGACTAACAGGATCTTGTTCTTTCCATACTAATAAGCTCTTTCTCGTGCCTTTGACAAAATTTCACAGGCTCGACTTTTATTCATTACAGTCCTTATAAGTCATTCGAAGAACAAAAAAAGAACTTTTGGTGATTATTTAAAGTGAATGATCCAATTAATTTCAAATTAGCTTTTATTGAGATTTTAGAGAGGGAAAAAGAAAACAATAAAAAAGTAGTACTATATGTCGCTTTTTGAGTGGCGACCTACCTAACATTTAATTTTTTGGCACACTTTCTAACTTTTTGTGTCGAGATTAGTCGTCACAAAAGCTAAAAATAAAACAACAACAAGGACTAATCTTTTGTGGCAACTAAGCTCGACACAAAAGTTAAAAAAATGCCCTACAAAATAGATGTTATGTAGGTCGTTATTCAAAACGGCGTCAATGGATTAGTTCGATCCAAAACTTGAGATAATGGGTGTAAACCAAAAATGAATTCATAAGTAGTTGTTAATGGAGTTGAGGTTACCAAATTTTGAGGTGTCGGTATCAATTTATGTCGAATTGCTCCACATATAGTCCCCCGAACCACATTTTCTAAACGAACCAAAGCCAATCCGAATTGATCTTATAAAAAATCTGCTACAGAATGAATACGTTTATTTTTCAAATGATTCATATCGTCAAGTGCACCCATTCCAAATTTCAGTCGGTATATCACTACTTTTGGTGGCAATTTAAGAGGTCGCCAACGGTATACGTCACTGAAAACCCTTTTTCCCTGTAGTGTCTGAATATTTATTAACCAATTAGTTCCTTTGAATATTTGTTTTCAAATTCCAATCAAGTGAAAATTCATTTTCGTTTTATATGAAGAAAACGTAAAAGAGGGTTTGTGAGAGATTGGAAAATGAATCCTTGCTTTGTGTGGGACGCATATTTTGCTTAATTCACAAACTACACATGAAAACAATATATTACTCTAATATATTTTTGAAGATAACAATAAATGATACCATCCAACTTAAATTGGAACAACAACAATAACAATATTTACTCAGTAAAATCCCACATAGTGAGGTTTGAGGAGGGTAATATGTACGCAAACCTTATCCCTACCTTGTGGAGATAAAGAGACTGTTACAAACAAACCCTTGGCTCGGGAAATCAAATTTAAATTGGAGTTTCTCATAATTCGTTAAAGAAGTAAAAGTTTTACATTTTTGTTCTTCTTTTAGGTATTTATATATTTGTGTGGCACTGAGATGGACAGTGTATGTTTTGAGTTTCCAGCGGAAGATTGTCGGGCTGCCTTATTATTTATTTGAAGACTTCGAGTTGGTTTATCACGCAATCTTTTTTGCATTTATTGGATTAATAATTGGTAGTCAATCAATTTGATGGGAAAAATCATAAAATAGTAGTATGAGATATGGACTTGAGATGATGTCTGAACAATTTTTTCTTTGTTGAGGAAAATATAAAACGCATAAAGAAGTCCTTTAGAAAATTTGTTGCATCATATATATTTTATTTTCTTTATCACAATGATAAAAAAAAAGTGAAGTTCAGAAACTATATTTGCAAACAATTTATTATCTTGAGACACACTTTATTGATATAATTAGTGATATTATCCAATTGAAAGTGGAGTTTCTTAAAATTGTTGAAGAACTGTACACCACTAGTGTAAGGGGTAAAAATATTAAAAAGCTTAAATATAGAACAAAAAGAGTTTGTTCAACTATGTAAAAACAGTGATATTTTATGCTATAGTTTTTCTATTTATTTATTTATTTGAGGGGCACTGAGATGGACAGTGTGTATTTGACTTTCCAGTGGATGATTGTCGAACTGCCTTAATGGTTAGTTATTTCAGAGTCCAACTTGGTTCGTCATCTCTCTCTCTCTCTCGGAATTTATTGGTAGTCAATCAGTTTGATAAAGAAAATATTAAATTAGTAGTATGCGATATGGACAGAATTATGTCTCAACAATATTTCTCAGTTAAGGGAAAAATGAAAACGCCTGCAGATTACTTATTGTATCTTGTCCTCTTCACTACAAAGAGAACTATCCTTATCCAAACGAAAATGCTATAATTTAAAAAAAAAAAACAACAACAAGCAATGGTCCATTCCTCCTATGACGATGAGCATATATTTTCATGTGAGATAGGTCAGTTATATGGTCCATTTGAAATGTTCTTTTAGTTATATAATTCTTTTTATGAAAAATTGGCAATTAATATAAGAAATCAATAATATTAAATATAAGAGACTGTTATTATATAGGGTAAAATTGATTTATGTTAAATGCTTGAATGATTACATGACACGTGGAATCGGAGACAGACGGAAGATGAAGCGAGTAAGAACCAAGACCGAGGACAACAATTTCGGTTGGTATCGGGTAGATCCCGAAGGGAACACAATCAACAGAGGCAAACGAATGTTTGCCATCGAATGACATTTAATGAAGAATATTCATTATTATTAAATATGCAGCCGTTGCAGAGAATTTTGGCATTAATGGCCTGCCATTGCACGTTCATCAATGACCCCCATTATTGTCATTTAAGAGGGGCTTGATCCTAGGATCTTGTTCACTAGGTATAGATATAAAAAGGGACTTGAACAACCATTGTAACACACGAAATATCTAGCAAAACTTATGCTACATTTTACTATCAAGCTGAATAATATAACTTTATTTTTTGTCTAGTACTGTTCTTCTCGCTATCTTTGAAAACCTTGCTCCCGGAACCAGGCTATCTATTTCTTTCGATTTCAATGCTATGTCTTATTTTTTATCTAAATTATTTATCATTTTGGGATCAAATCAGTTCGCTTGTCTATAAACCACGTAACAAATTCAACTGTACCGTTTTACGGGTAAACAGTTTGACGCCTACCGTGGGGCTTAGACAGCTGCGTAATTGAGTT